TGTTCCGCTTCTAATACCAGAATTTATCATGGGTTCATACACAGCAGTCATTAACAGACATAATTTAAAATCAGGATGATCGGCGGTACATTGCGAATAGGTTGATGTTCCACCAGGATGGTGTCCCACCACATTACGCATTACGTGATCGATAATATTTAGATCAGACGTTTCCAGATGGATGGATTGGTAGAAGAGGTGCCATAGAATGCCCCCAAGCTTGCCAGATTTATCACCTTTGGATTTCTTTATGTGGGGTCATTTAAAAAGCAAAATCTATGCTACTCAGCCAACATCATTAGAAGACCTGCGACAAAGAATTGTGAATGAGTGCCTTCAAGATTTTGGGGGTGGTGTCACCCCCGCTTAGGGGGCTGCACGTGCTAACGTGATTTTTTGTGAAACTTGTGTCCCCCTCGAAAACGGAATCGACAGGTCTGAGCGTTTTTCCAAAAAAAAAAAACTGAGCTGCCAGTAAACGCGTGTGTTTCGTTTTCGATGCGCCACCCTGTATATTCGAATGTCTCTCATGAGGTCCTGATCGGAATTCAGATCTCTCTCAGTTTTTCGTAAAATCGCAGTCTCAATTGTTCTTCCTATTGGCTTCCGAATACATGTCAACTGACAGTAAAGTAAGTAAACAACCTTTTGTTTCCAAAGCGAACTTGATATTATTTATTATTTAGTATTTGTTAAAATTAAAGCCAACGAATGTTGTGCCAAAACTTTTAGGACATCCGTTACCTAACCAGGAGGTATAAAAGATTTTATGGTGCACGGGTATCAAGAAGACGTAGTTTTTTCAAATCTGAAAAGATGTATAACCAGATATAGATCGCCTTGTTACGTAGTACTTTCTCCTTGCGTTGCTTGCATACAGAACACGCCAAGAAGACTGATATAAATGGAAGGAAGTATTCTTGAGTCTGTTACAGAAATCACAACATGATAGCGAACGACCGTGTTTCACTATAAAATTCGTCCTACATTCTTTCCTATCAAAACCAGAAGTGTTTATGTGATATGCCCACTTATATCATTGCGTGATTTAATTTCCTCTAGAAAAAACTCGTTAGAGCGAATCAAGGTGAGGTGTAAAAAACGAAAAATTGTCTTTGTTTCTCAACTAACGAACGTGCTAAGTGTAATTCAGACTATCATCCTAGCTCAGAAAGGTCGTTTACTAATTGGCTGGGGCGATCACGTTGATATACTTGTGCTAATCGGGATTCACAAATTTTGCTTGTGAAGAATATTTAATTGGGGTACTTTTTCTACCGTTATCTTGGGTTTCAAAGAGTTGATCAATTCCTAAACATGTATGAGTAAAAATGTATACAATGAAAATCCAGTTTAACCGCACCCACAGTTCGCAGCCTTCGCGAGCTATTAATGAACCAGAAACAGAGCACACTACGATTTCTGTGCCTTGTTATTTATTATTGTCCGACAACGTTGCATTGCACCTTTCTATTGTGCACAATCATTGTTAGTATTATCTGCAATTAACATTTAATACATATTTAAGCGAGGAGCTTTTATACGATAACAATGTACAATTTAAGTAGCCAAATGACTTGGAAGATTTTCAGCAGGACACGGTTGTAAATAAATAGGATAAACATAAGCATTTATTGCGATGTTCACAAACATAACTAAAATGCATTACATTCCTTTTCGATTTTATTTAAAAACTTGAGATGAAGGAGCTTAAGTATCGTTTAAATATTGCCAATCGAAATTTTTTTTTCGGTCTTTAGGTCATTTTTAAAAGGTTAAATAAAAGCCTGTTTTTTTTTTGGAAAACGCTTAGACCTGTCGATTTTTTTTTGAGGGGGGGGGCGGGGGACACCAGTTTGGCAAAAAATGACGTTAGCACGTGCAATCCCCTGAGCTGTCAGTAAATGCGTCGTTTCGTTTTCGATGCGCCACCCCGTATATCTTAATTTTATTTATTTTTTAGTATTTATGATGTCAAATATCTAGTTTGGTAAGTTCTATATAATTTCCATATATATTTTATCAATATTAATCCATAAAACTTCCTAATTTATTCATATTATGAAATTTCGATAGGTATAAATCATATACGTATACATAATGATATATCGATATTTTGTCATATCAAATTTAAAATGACGTAATTTACTTATCTTATTTCTCTCATAAAGCCCTCTCATTTGATACCTATATCACGGAGTGAATATGATAATGAAACACCATCATGATGACATTAATTTATTTTGTATTGTCACACATCCCAAAATTTATACTAACACACAAAACAGCTGAGAAGCTTGTAAAATATTGCGAAAAATACGAGCGTTATTTTTTTATCAAGTTTAAAGAAGAAGCATTGATGAAATATTTTCACCCGATCGATATAATTATGTACAGGTGGGTTTCAGATTTCAAAGTAAAGGTGGAAACAGATACAGTGGTAGTCTTGATGAATGACTTCCATATAGAACAATGCGTCGTATCGTTTATCAAAAAGAACGGAAGCATGAAGCCTTCACCTCCGTAATCCACAGTGTCCGTTTCAATAGCGGACCAAAACTGAACAAGTACGAGCATTCAAAGTGACAGACAGGCACGGACGCGGGCGAGGCGGAATCGCAACCGCTGATTGTGCAAACAAAAATATTACATGTTCAACGGAAAACGGACAATTATAGGATAACATATCACGCGGAATTTAACTCCGGGCTACAAACATTTCGCTTATAGCTTACTAAATACCAATTATTATTATCATGTTAGGTATATACCATAGTAAATCTTTAAAATGCTTTTTAAAGTCTCAATTTAGATCGTAATGTCACATTTTCAGCGGTTGACACCCGATTGTGAACTCCTTCAACGCGCATGCGTTTGTCAAAAGACTAGTGTCAAACGGTTTTCAAATTTGAGGATGTTCTTCAGTCATTCTGAAATGTTTCATTAATTCACCTCCATCGTAGAGGTGCTGTTACGTAATGTAATGCTATTTTTTTCGGTTATTATGAAGCAATATGTGCACAATGTTTTCATCATCCACTGGGATCGCTGTCTGAGATCCAATCGGATTCTGAACCTGAACTATAAGAATCTGGTATTTCTATGAGCATATCATTTAAATTGATACAAACTATTCGAAGCTGCATCAACACTAAAACAGACGCAGACTCTCAAACACAATTCATAGCCCCGAATCCTAAATCACCCATAGCAAACAAATGCGCATGTCAGAAACCCCGAGTCCCGCCAAAATCCTGTGTACTGTAACCGAAAAACTGATTTTTGAACCGAAAACGGTTTACTGACACAACGTACCACCGCGCGTGCTCAGTCTGTTTCAGCCCTTGGGACTGTAATACAAGAATATTACAGATGTTTGGGAAAGAGATTTAATTTCAAATTAAGTCCTAATTGTACACCGTCATATTCATTTGTCGGCTCACAATTTATTCAGAATTAACAATGATGATTACGAATAGGTGACAATTCTTGCTAGATGTTAACACATAGCTATTACTGCAACCTTGAATGGCTAAGCAAAGTGAATCTAATTTATATGTACGTTTTTTATTCTTCCGCTTATTGTTTTTATTAAATAGCAGCGTAATTATTGGTATTGAGCATCTGCTTATATTTTCAAATCAGGAAATGATACCGATTCCAGTCTTTGATTACTCACATACCTAGAATTCAAATTGATCGATCAAGATACAGTAAATAAAATCATAAGTTCTAATACACGAAAATCTTTCTTTACTTCTGTTAACACCCATTTCGCACCTTACGTACTCGTATAAGTGAACAAAAAAGAAGAAAATGAAAGTATATTTAGATATAATACTCGTACTATCGAAGAATGTTCTTAAGGACGCGAACGCGCTTTTATTGAACGCTGTTTACGATTGTATAAGAAACGTAACAGGAAATTAGCATATTCAGACTGCTTTCAAATAGAATGGGAGTGGATATCAATTTTACGATTATGATTCAGATCTTGGTTCCACATTATATTCGATTTAAAAAGCAAAAAATATTTATGGTGTCCACAGAATATATCAGCAACGATCGAGCAGAGTGAAGG